GTGCACATCAGGAATCTCCTGGACCAGTTACAGCTTGCTGTGCCACTTTTCCAGCAGCTGTCAGGTTCATTAAAGTCCCCCAGCAGCATCAGAGCCTGAAAGTACGATGCTTCCTGCGGTTGAAATAAGAAAGCTTCAACATCCACCCCTTGACAGAGCAGCCTATGGTAAATACCAACCGTTAGGTTTCCTTTGTTTGCTTGGCCTCTCATTTTCAGCCATAAACTCTCGAGAGTTAATAATTGATTTTCAAAGGCAGTTCTGTGCAATCAATTAATTTTTTTACATAGAGGGAAACCCCCCTCCCTGCCCTTCACCCCCCATACAGATATCTCTCCTTCCTTGCTTGTCCCTTCTGAACTATTTATAGTCATCGATTGCAGCATTCTGGTCTTGTGATTCATCCCATCAAGTGACTGTGCTGGACTTTCACAGTTTGCACAGGAGGATATATGGGGGTACCCATCTCACAGATGCAGCTGAGGAGGCAGGACTGCAGCACACTTGGGCACGCTTCAAACAGGGTGATCAAGCTCATGCATTATGACTATCGCTGGGAAGCCCCATCAACATGTTTTTCACCTTGGGCTGGGTAAGGCTGCACAGCATCTTCAATATTTTCTCACCTGATGCCTGTGTTGCTAAGAAATCACACTTTATATATGTGATCCACTTAAATCCATTCTGACCTACGGGTGCTCCAGGTACATGAGAAACATAAATGAAGTCACAAGGGTGTTTAAGGCATTTTGAATCTGCCCTTGACGTAACTGCAGACTTTGGATCATTTGGGAGATATCTTTTGTCCGTGGATGATAGATTTTATTTAAAAAACCTATTTATATGATGTTCTACATCATAACATATTGTTACATGAGTAAGAAAAATTCATGTCTCAATAGGGAAGGGGTTACAACTGCGTACTGTTCAGTCTCCAGTAAAAGACCTTTCCCAATGACAAAAGGGTTTTGTATTCATATAGATTTAAAATTCCAGATAGATCTTTAATCTCTTAAAATAAGAGATCTGTGACCAGAGGTATGGTATGCATTAGGAAGAAAATTTAGTTATGACAAGGGGATAAACAGATACAGCTTTCTTCATTTTTTCTTAAAATTATCTCCTTGGAAAAATATTCAGATTTTATAAAAAGTTGTTGGGTTGGTTTTTTTTAGTTCAAAGCAAGAGAGAAATCACTCCTTGATCATTCCAGGCCATATAGTTTTCCGTAACTTCAAAGCTCAGTTAAGGCATAACTCCAAGAATCAGTTCAGATTAATCAATCGAGCAAGCAATCAGTGAAATTATAAAGTTTCATGTTTAGCATTTAATGTTCCAATGTGATATAAATATAATATTCATGAAAAAGTTACTATACTGGATGAATTTATATGTGTATAATAATGGTTTAATAAAAAGCCTAATTTTGCCAGTGGGGAATGTGAATTCAGGCAGAGAGAAAGTAGCCAGTCATCACTCTTCCTTTCTGCTCAACCCTTTCCTTTAATTAGCTGAGGGGGCCACAGGGTACACAAAATATGACATGTCTGGAAATGTGTGCACAAGCTGGACACCAGAAGGCTGCGTAGAATGGAAACTCTGGGTATCACAAATTTGAATATTTCTAATTGTTCAGGCAAATATTTGAAGCCATTTGAGGGGGACACGAACATGTGAAATAACTTCAAGGCTATATGAAAGTGACACTTCCTTTGCTGCTGCACATGTTGTGCGTGTCATCTGAGATCCCCCAGTGCAGTGTGTCTGGACTGCTGCTGCCTCCCCTGTGCGTTGGGGAAGAGCAGCTCCTTCCCACCACGGGTTACTCTGGGGAAAGGGTTGGCATTCTCTTTCCTGGGCTGTTCACTCCACAACCAACCTCAGCGAAGGTGCGGTGCCACATGGCCAACGTTTCATTTCCATCTTAAGAGAGTGAGACACAAAATTTTAGTTTTGACTTCTGCCTGGCACCTGCAACAATGTGAGCCTGTTTTTTGGGGGGAAGAAATAAGAAGTGACAAACATGTAATGGTACATCTTGTTGCACAACTGAACTGTCCTGTACAGTCTTCTGCAAGCTGCAGGCAGCACAGGCGGAGATTGAGTGGGTGAGACACTTCCCAGCTGCCTGGTGCCTTGGCTCAGAAGACCTGTGATCAGTGGTGGAAAGTGATACTGCAAAGATGGGAAAAGTGCAATCACCTGCAGCACTTACGGATGCGAAGACATCTAAGCTATTCTTCCTCCTTGCAAATGAGCAGCAGAGTATTGCGGGTGAGCACTGAGAAAAAAGCTGAGACCCTTGGAAAGATGGTATCCATGGCTCCTTCCCAGATATTTTGAGGTTGGGAAGACCTGTGCATTTCAGAACGAGCTTGTTCCTCTCCTTCCAGCTGATACTCAGGACGTCATAGTGGTATTTCTGCTCACAGGAGCCGCTTAAGTTGTTCGCTACAGTCCCTAACTGCTGTTTCCTCCTTCCTCTTCCTCAAGAAAAGAAGTGTTACAGGCCTTGCAGATTATTCTGACAGCTCCCCTGACAAGGTTGTTCTGCACACAGCCCAGTATTCACAGAATACGTGAATCTCATTCACAGAATAAGATCAGTGAAATCAGCGGGATGTACTTGACACCCCTAATTTTTGATGATTTCTTCTCTTAACCTGGCTCATGAGTACCCTGACTGCCCCATCTGTCAGAAGGACCATTGCAGAGGGAAGTGGAGCAGGGATTGTGGCAGTGATAAAAGACAGCCACAGCCCTGGATCACTGAGGAAGTCTGTGGGGACGAGCCTGGGACAACGTTGACCCAGGAAAGTGCAACCAGTGGAGTAAGGAATGCATAGGTACAGCATATAAGGTAAAGCCTGACCCTAAATGCAACTCCAAAGCCAAGAGGTGGAGGGCAAGATCTCGAGATATCCTCAAACAAGTCACCTTCAAGTCTGCCAAAGGGGAAGGGAAGAAGGTCCTAGCAACAAGCAGCATGTTTTCCTTATGGGAACAGAATCCGATTGGATGCAGAAGTACAAGCAGAACTGAAATGAAATGTTCCTGTACACAGTTGATGTGATGAGTAAAGCTTTTTTTGTACTGCTTTTTTCACAGGGTCGGGTTTTCCATCGCGTGGAACCGGTGCCCAGAACTGCCTTTCCAAATATCAGTCTGTGTTCAGGGAATCAGTTCTTGCACGAGACCTGAAAGCACACAAAAAGTTAGGAAAGGGACAGGCTGGCTGAATATCTCTGTGGGCTGTTCCTGTGGGAAAGACAGTGCTTTTCAAGAACAAAAGGGTGCTAAAGCCCCTGTCTTCAGAGGTGCAAATTGTTTTTCTTTATCTTAGATACGTTCCCATTTCTTTTGACATCGGGATTGTAGATCCACCCTGAGCAGAGTTCAGTTTACGTGTTTTCAGCTTACTTTTTTCAGCTTTCCATACAATTTAGTTTGTATCTAGAAAGACATCAAACTAACCTTTGTGACTCGTATGGTTTTTTTCCCTTACGTTTGAGGATGCTGGGCGAAGTTTGATAAGAAACTCCCAAAGGAAAACGGATTTATACTGCCTAAGATTTTTCTATTTATTTATTTTAACGCGCCTTCTGTTGCTGATTCCATCTCTTCCCACTTAACTTCCTTTCCCGGACAACATGCAATACACACCAGAGTCTATTAGGGAAAAGACTTTGGCAGGCAAAAAATGGCTGAAGTGACACGTCTGGAAAAAGTCCAACGAGAAGAGGGTTTTAATTTAGATTCATTTCATCTCAAGAAAAAAATAATAATCCTGGAACCATGCGACTTTTTAAGGGCACAGATCGTATGCAAACGAAGGTGTTCAATTGTTTGGCAAATGTCGGTAATGACTGCCATAGTTTTGAGGATAGAAGGCATTTCATCCCACCACTGAGAAGAGGAACTTTATCCTCACCTCACGCCAAGTATTCTCACCGCTGTTGTTAACTATTCCACTCTGAGGACGAAGCTGTTCTTGGACAGCTAAGGATTACACAGAAAAATCAATTAGTGATAACTAATGTGTAGCTCTTAATGAGGCGAACGGTGGCTTCCCTGCCGAATCTGTGCACATGAGTGTGTGCTATTTACGGAGAGGGTGTGCTCCTCCCTGACAATCTGCCCACACAAAGGCTGGGAGGAGAGTTTGGATTGCGGGAGGGCACGGTGCCAGGCTGCCCCAGCGCTGCCCATGCAGACCTCCCCGTGTCACCAGGAGCGGGGGGACACTGAGGACTCCGCGTCGCCCCTTCGCTGCGGGCTTTGGCCGAGCCTTCCTCCCGCCCCGGCCGGGGATCCCTCCCACGGCTGTGTGTGTGCCCGGGGCTCGGGACCGTGGAGAGGCGATGGAGTGTGCTGGCCTAAAGCTCGAGGAAATAGTGGAGGAACCAGCGTGGGGACATGAAGGGAAGGGAGGGGGGGCGGTGCTGTGTAAGCAGCCGGTGCCCCGCTGTGACTCAGCCTGGTCGCCGCAGGCTCTTCTCTCCGGTTTCTCCATTCGTGGCTATTTCCCGTGCGAGCGAGCTCCGCCACAGCTCTGCGCCCCAGCAAAGGGAGAGACGGGGAGGGGTGTCTGGGGAGGAACCAATACTTCCTTGCGGGATAAAACACTGATTTTAGCTCGGCACTTCCCACAGTTAGAAAACTTCCAGCTCCAATCGCTTTTCGCCCAACGAGACAGAGCCCCTCGGTACCGAGAGGAGAAGCGGGGCAGGCAGGGCTGTTGCCGGCCCCGGACAGAGCGGACGAGATGGGGTTGCAGCGGCTGGGGTGGGGGAGAGGAGCAGCCCCGCGACACGGCTAGGGGTGTGCGCAACCCCTCTGCTTCCGCACCGACCCCTGAAGCCCCACAAGGGTTAATTTGGGGCTGATGAATACGACAGCTCCCTTCAAGGGCTTCCGGCAGCGGTGCGAGAAACAGAAGTGAATTGAATCTCCAACACGTATGTTTCCAGAAAGAAATAGCCAGATGAAACGAATGCAAATTCGTTACAGGAACGTGTGTGTAATTAACATCTCAGTCACCAGACCGGGCCGGGAGAAGAGGAACCGGGCGCGGAGCGCGGCGGGACGCGGTGCGGCGGACGGAGAGGAATAAAGCCCGGGTTTGAGCTCTGCTTTACACCTTCGCCACCGCCTCGTCTTACCCGGGCGGAGCGGGTGGGTCCCGCCGCCGAGTGAGCCTCGGGCAGGGCGGGCAGCGCCGAGCCCGGCAAAAGGGAACGCGGAAATCCAGCGGTAGGTAAGAGGTGCCGGCGCTGCGCCGTGGCGGCTTGCGCAAGCTCGACCGAAGAAATTCGAAACGAAAGCGGTGAAAGATGATCTACGCGAAGTGCACGACACACTCGCTCCCACGTCTTCAAGCCGCGGGAGGAAGGTCTGCTGTCCCGTCTCAAGTGCTCGGGGATCCCAACACGGAGCACTTGTCACAGTGATCTGAAGAGACAGTTTCTTCTCTCAACAGCCCAACGTTGCGTCTCAGTACACTCCTTTGTTCTGAAAAAAAAAAAAAACCCTTCACTTCCTTCATGTTCTGTAACGCGTTTATCATAAAATGATATGCAAACACATAGAGCGTGTCCCCGACACACACATCGCACTGTTCTCCAAAAAAAAAAAAAAAAAAAAAACCAAAAACCAACAAGTCAGGGCACCCCGAAACACACATTAGATTTTCACCCCCTGACGCAGGATCACCGTGCACAGACCGACACACCACACACATCGTTCTGCGCCGACGGCGCACACATCGCTCTGCGTTACAGCGCAGCCATCGGTCGGTGCCCCACACCGCACACGTAGCTGTTCTTCCGACGACACACACATCGTTCCGCTCCTACCCTGCGCAGGCATCGCTTCACAGCGTCGGCGTCCGTCCCTTCCCCGACACACATCGCTCTGCGCCGACGGACACACACATCCCGCATCGTCCCGCCAGGCACACGTTCCCCCGCGTACCACACAGCCATGGCTCTGAGCCCCCTGCCCCAGACACCGTCGTTCTGCGTCCTCCCTGAGACACTTAGGTCCCGACACACACGGCGCTCTGCACCTCCAGGACAAACACATCGCTCAGCCCGCACCAGCGCACACACCGCTCTTCTTCCGATCGCACACGCATCGTTCTGCGGCGTGTTCGTCCCGTACCCTCTTTCCTTTCCCCGCTCTCTCTCCTTCTCTCCCTCCCTCCCCCCCGTCCCCTGTCCCCCCCTTCTCCGAAACACATCGCTCTGCCCCGACAGACACTCCCATCGCTCGGCACCGACAGACAGACGCTTCACCCTTCGTACCATAGTCCCACCGCTCTGCACCTAAAGAAACACACAGCGCTCTGCGGCGGCGGCGCCGTCCCGCTCGCCCCCTTCCCCGAAACACATCGTTCTGCCCCGACGGACACACATATCGCTCCGGTCCCGCAACGCTCCCATCGCTCTGCACAGCCCCACAAACCTATCGCTCCGTACCCCAGCACACGGGGGCCGCCTCTCTTGCGATGAGCCCCAAGATGGGAGCATAGATCCCCCTGAGTCCCCCACAACACACATCGTCCTGCGCCCCCTAAGATACACGAATAAGTCCGCGCCGCGGGAGCATCGTACTGCAGGAGACAGCTATCGCTCTGCTCCTCCAGAAACACACCTCCCTCCCAAAATGCATAGATTAGGACCCTCATTACCGTTACCCGACACAGATACTGACCTATGCCTACCCGAAACCTATCGCCCTGAGGCCAGCGACACACACATCGCCGTGCACGGCGACAGAGCAACATAGCGCTCCGCTCCTTCCGTACACGACGAGGGACACACCGTCGCATCGCTCCCCGAAGTCACTCCCATCGCTCAGCGCCGCCCAGCGTAACACAGTCCCATCGCTCTACGGCGTCTTCGTCCCGTCCCCTTCCTTCGTCGAAACACGTCGCTCTGCCCCGGCATCGTTCCACTCCCCTAAGACGTTCCCATCGCTCGGCACCGACAGACGGACACTTCCCCTTTCGTACCGTAGTCGTGAGCTCTGCCGCTCACGGAACACACACCGCCCAGCGGGGTTGTCGCCGCTCTCCCGTCCAACCCGTCCCCGAAAACACATCGCTGTGCGTCCCTAACCCGCATTACCCTTAGCTCCTAACACACACAGCGCTCTGCTCCCCCCGACGTACGCTCCGCCCCGGGAGCTACAAGACACACATCGTTGTGCACCGACGGACGCTCCCATCGCTCTGCCGCGACCGATAAACACATCGCTCTGACGCCGGTGACAAACACACACACCTCGGTCCGCTCTTCGCCCCGAAGGAGCTGCTCGGCTCCCGGAAATCACTGCCATCGCTCTGCTCCGCCTGACAGTCGCGGCGCCCAGCCCACCAGAGTCCCATCGCTCTACGGCATCTTCGTCTCCTCTCCTCCCCTTTCTTTTTCCGAAACACATCGCTCTGTCCCGACCGACGGTCCCATCGCTCCGCTCCCCGGAGTCGCTCCCATCGCTCTGCTCCCCCCGACAGTCGCGGCGCCCAGCCCACCAGAGCCCCAACGCTCGGCGCCCCCCCAAACACACCTCGCTCAGCGGCGGCGTCGCCACCCCCTCCCCTTCCCCGAGACACATCGCTCTTCCCCGACGGGCGCACATAACGCCCCGCTCCCGCAACTCTCCCGTCGCTCCGCACAGCCCCCACAAACCTATCGCTCCGTACCCCGCCGCCTCTGTCGCGATGACATACACACACCGCTCCGAGCCCTAAATGGGAGCAGATATCCCCCTGAGTCCCCCACAGCACACATCGTCCTGCGCCCCCTAGGACACACGAACGAGTCCGCGCCCCGCCACCATCGTACTGCGGACGAGAGCCGCCCATCTGCGCTTCCAGAAATACACGTGTCCCCATCCAAAATACGTAGATTTAGGACCCCCCAAACTCAGTACCCTTACGCCCCGACAGATATTGACCTACGCCTCCCCGAAACCTATCGCCCTGGGGCCAGCGACACACACATCGCCGAGCTCCGTGACGGAAACACACAGCGCCCCGCTCTTTCCGCGCACACGTCCCACGGGGGACACACCGCCGCATCGCTCCCCGCAGGCAACGCCAGCGCTCTGCGCCCATGCAGCGCTGCATCGCTGCGCGCCCCGCAGAACGGTAACCTCTCCGCGCCCTCGTTTCCTTCCCAGGACACACTGCGGCCGCGCGGGTTTTTGCGGTGATCGTTAACCTTCTCCCCAGAGTGACACATCGGTCGTGCAGCACCGACAAAAATCGCACGTTCGGCGGTGCGATCCGCAGGAGGATTGCGAAATCATATAATCATATACCCATTTCAGTGACTCACAGCTGGGTCGGAGGCGGGGTTAACTTTCCCGCCTTGCGTCGAGGCTGGTATATAAAAGGAGTTCCCGCGCGCAGCAGCGTCATCCGCTGCTTCATGAGCGCTGCCGGTGCGTGAGGGACGGATGTCCCTTTGCTGCGATGCCTGAGCCCGCCAAGTCCGCCCCCGCGCCCAAGAAGGGCTCCAAGAAGGCCGTCACCAAGACGCAGAAGAAGGGCGACAAGAAGCGCAAGAAGAGCCGCAAGGAGAGCTACTCCATCTACGTGTACAAGGTGCTGAAGCAGGTGCACCCCGACACGGGCATCTCGTCCAAGGCCATGGGCATCATGAACTCCTTCGTCAACGACATCTTCGAGCGCATCGCCGGCGAGGCCTCGCGCCTGGCGCACTACAACAAGCGCTCCACCATCACCTCGCGGGAGATCCAGACGGCCGTGCGGCTCCTGCTGCCCGGCGAGCTGGCCAAGCACGCCGTCTCCGAGGGCACCAAGGCCGTCACCAAGTACACCAGCTCCAAGTAAACTGCCTCTGAACCCCGTGCCGCACCTGCTCCACCCAAAGGCTCTTTTAAGAACTACCAATTCTTTCACTTGAAGAGCTTCGTCACTCGTGTTTTCCGACAGTTATTTGACTTCTCTAAGTCTCGCTTGCATAGGGACCAGGTTTTCACCCGTTATTGCAGATTTTCTTATGGCTCTGAGCCTGAGCTCTTAACCTGATGCTATAAAATCCCCAAATGACAGAAAATTTCGAAACTGCCCATCAGGGGGCGGCAGGGAGTAAGGTCGTGACACGCTATTAGACCCTGCCTATCTGAATGTTGGTCCGTTCCGAAATCAGTAATAATTTTGTATTAGGAATATTAGAATAAAAAAAAATACAAAGAAATAGCTTAATTAATAATTTAAAACATATATTTTAAATTAAGGATTTTTTTCTGATAAAGAAGACGAACGAAACGTAACACTAAAAAAATCTTTACCTAAATTACCAAAATCTTCGAAGAAACTTCAGAAGTATATTGATATACGTCTATGGCGGATAACCGAAGTTCATCGAATGAGGACCGTGAAAAGGAATAGAACGGGGCTGAAACCACGCTCACTCGGGGATAGCACTATACCTACTTCCCCTTCCTTTCTCTCGTTTCAGACAACACCTTTCACCGCGCAATGGCACGCTAGAAGCGGATGGCAGAGGGGAGGTGCCCTGCACAGATGGTAATCCGAGCAGCCCGGAAGAAAGCAGACACAGCAGGCAGCGTGAAAACTCACCGCTACGCCTGGGTTCAGCAGGGCAGAGAAAGCTGTTGAACAGGTAAGGGCACTAATCACAAGGATAAAACAGAGATAAGTGTGTTCTTTATGTGAATTGTACTAGGGCTTTTTGATCACTCGGATTAAACGTTAAGCACATACCATCAATTAGACTGAAATATACAGAAATTAAAGCTCTTTTTACTGAATGTGTGGGTGGCTCTTAAAAGAGCCTTTGGGTTATTCTTTTAAAACAGGTGTTTACTTGGAGCTGGTGTACTTGGTGACGGCCTTGGTGCCCTCGGAGACGGCGTGCTTGGCCAGCTCGCCGGGCAGCAGGAGCCGCACGGCCGTCTGGATCTCCCGCGAGGTGATGGTGGAGCGCTTGTTGTAGTGCGCCAGGCGCGAGGCCTCGCCGGCGATGCGCTCGAAGATGTCGTTGACGAAGGAGTTCATGATGCCCATGGCCTTGGACGAGATGCCCGTGTCGGGGTGCACCTGCTTCAGCACCTTGTACACGTAGATGGAGTAGCTCTCCTTGCGGCTCTTCTTGCGCTTCTTGTCGCCCTTCTTCTGCGTCTTGGTGACGGCCTTCTTGGAGCCCTTCTTGGGCGCGGGGGCGGACTTGGCCGGCTCAGGCATCGCAGCGAACGCGCGTCTCGACTCACACCCAGACAACGCTCACGAAGCACCGGATGACACCGCTGGCCGCGGGAGCCCCCTTTATACCGGCGCTGCCCAAAGCAGAGGCTCCACAGCGCTGCATCCCCATTGGTTGGAAGTTCTGCCGTAGAACGTCACGACCCGCTAAGCTTTGCTATTGGACGCTTCTCGATTCGCGCGCCCATTGGCTGAGGAAACAGCGCCTCCCTCACAGCCAATCAGCGACCGCGCCGCCGCTCCACCCGAGCAGGATATAAAGAGGCTGGAGGGCGCTGCCGGGGGCAGGTCGTGTGACAGCGGGACGGCGTTTTGTGTTCCTGCTGATCGGCTGTGATGTCTGGCCGCGGGAAGCAGGGCGGGAAGGCGCGGGCCAAGGCCAAGTCGCGCTCGTCGCGGGCCGGGCTGCAGTTCCCCGTGGGCCGCGTGCACCGGCTGCTGCGCAAGGGCAACTACGCGGAGCGGGTGGGCGCCGGCGCCCCGGTGTACCTGGCGGCCGTGCTGGAGTACCTGACGGCCGAGATCCTGGAGCTGGCGGGCAACGCGGCCCGCGACAACAAGAAGACGCGCATCATCCCCCGCCACCTGCAGCTGGCCATCCGCAACGACGAGGAGCTCAACAAGCTGCTGGGCAAGGTGACGATCGCGCAGGGCGGGGTGCTGCCCAACATCCAGGCCGTGCTGCTGCCCAAGAAGACCGACAGCCACAAGGCCAAAGCCAAGTGAGCGCCCTGAAGTCTAATTAGGATACTGAACAAACAAACAAACAAAAAGGCTCTTTTCAGAGCCGCCCACAACGGTCATAAAAGGTTGAGTCGCTCTCTGTGCTTTCGTTTCTTCTCGTGAACGCAAGCAGAAATATGTAAGCCTTTTTTTTTTCTTAAAAGTTTTTGCCTTAAGTTTGTTATTTTCTGTTCTTGCCTGTCTCCTTTTCATAGGGAGGTTGTTTTATTTTTTAAAAATTGTCTGTTCTACTGAGGCGTTGTTTATTTATTTGTTTCTTTTTTTTTTGTGTTGGTCTCCTATTTTGTTTTTAATAAAATATTTTTTTGTTGATAAAACCTAGAAGCTTTTACTATGTTTTAGTATGATATGGGAGTAAATGGTAAGTGAACTCTGCCTCATCTGTCTGTGCTCTCTGCGGTGTTTATTAAAGGATGGTGTAACCCAAGTCTTTATAGAGAGTCACAGTTTCCATAGACTATTTCTGTTCTCCTTGAGAGTATAAAAAAGCTGTAACTGATCGATGTTACAGTTATGGGCAACGCTGAGCGAAGTGGGGGGAAAACTAAGCACAGGCAGAAAAAATAAAGCCCTGAAGGAATCGCGGGTCCCGGCAGAGACTTAAAGCCAATTCTTTCGCAACGAGGGGGGCGTTCCCTGCTGCGGGTCTCTTGTTGATTTCCGTTTTTCGCTGCTTTTTAACTCCCTCGCTGGAGTCCCGTTGGCTTTCCTTAGCGGAATTAAGTCCGCAGAGCACTGGGGAAGTATCTCAGGCAGGACAGTGTTACCGGTGTTCTCAGGGAGCTGCCTGATACGATGTGCCACCACAGCGACAGCCCTTGCGTTACACTGGGAAGAACATTATTATTTTGAATTTTGTTTTTCTGGCAGTACTGGCTGGATCCGCCTCCGTTTCTCTGTGAGGCACGGGAAGTTTCAAGCTTCCTCCTCTGTTTTGGGAGAAGGCAAGCGGTTCTTAGAAAATTTCGCTCTGTTCCAGCTGGGCATAGTGTTGCTCTAAAGTCGTTCTTCTGCTTTGCTGCTCCTCCGCTTGGTTCCGATTTCTTTCTGGTTTAATGGAGCTCCTCGTTGCTTTTTTAGCCTTACAGTCTTGAGCAGCCCTTTAGCTGCGGGGGCCGGCAGCCTCCTGACTCTCTTGGGGCACTTTTTTTTTTTGGGGGGGGGGGGGCTCC